TAAATCAATTAAGTTTAGAAATTATTGCTGTGAAAAATGGTTAGAACTTAACAATCACAAGTTGGGTTTTTTTTTTTTTGTTATTATGGTCAAAGTGTAATAGTTTTTTTTTTTAATGTAAATGAAAGAATTTGAATTCGAATCTCTCATTTACACTCTCGTTCTCAAAACACCCAATCCCTCCATCTCCCAAAAATGTAATAATATGCTTACCTGCATAGTTGTCCCTTATAGTAGTTACTCTGGCTCCGGAGAACTTTCTTTTGCCGTTTACACAGAGAAGGTTTCAATTTTTTCTTAATAATTATACTAAGATTATACCTCTTCTTTCAATATACTTTGGAGTTAAAAATGTTCTCTCTAATACGATTTATCATCCAAGAAGTCGTGCCAAAGCTCAGAATTTGAGCTCCACAGGATTATAATTACTTTCGCCCTAACTTTGACTGTTTCCCGTTATTGTTCCTTCTTGTCTTCCATTCTGGATAACGGAGAGAGATAGTCCGTCAACGGAAAATTAATGGTTATGTAGACCAATTACGTGGTAGAATTTTCTCCTGTCGAAGCATTTTCTGAGACGAAAAAATGACCAGACAATTTTTTCTGTGCCGTGACACTTGGGGTACCGTATTGTACAGTTTAAAAAGACCGCAATGGATGAGGTTTAAGCGTCTCATGCACGGTATTGCTCTTTCCATTTTCTATGTGGCTATATTTAGAAAAATGTGTAGTAGACTGTTCTATATAAGAAATGTCAAACACTGGACAAATAATTTTTGAGAGGTTGATAAATGAATGGATGCCAAATAGCCATTTGCAAGTTTAGATTCTTTTTAAGTGAAGAAAAAAAGAGCCATAATTAAGTGGTCAATGCAGTCCAAGAAATAAATAGTGATCATATACAGACAGGCACCTAAACAATTTTTTTTTTTTTTAAAAAAAACCTTAATAAGAATGTTGCCATGTTTTTTCGGCCAATTTTTAGTTTCAACAAAATCGGTTTGGCAAGACTAGCAGTCATCCAGGAAAATCATCACTTTTGACCAATGTTTTTAAACTCGGACCGGCCAATGAACCGGAGAAGGGATTGGTTCGAGGTCCGATCGGGTCCGACCGGTTCAACCGGCCGGTTCACCGGTTCACTGCTTTTTTTTTTTTTTTTTGGAATGCAACTTCAGTGCTAAAACTAAATTTAAAAGCATAGTTATTGATGCTCCAAAGTAGTTATTGATAACTTAAGTTCTTAAAATGCAATCACTAAAATAACTTAAAATTAAATTTAAGTTGAGATAATAATAAAATTCCTAAAATTTATACATGAAATGGAATGATAAACATAACCAAAATATCGTAATTTACCGCAAGTTTTCTTTCTACTTTTCCTATAAATAATGTACTAAAAAAATTCGATGAAAATTGGACATGAAATAGAGCACAATCGGTTTATGAAATATTTGCCATATTCAATTTATATTTTTTCTATTTATATTTTGTCTTTATTTCTATTTGCAACAATATTTCTGGGAGCATTTCTTACCCAATCTCTGTATCTTATGCATTCATTTATTTAAATTTCTCTTCAACATCAGTCCAAGCAAAAAAACCAAGTTGGACTGTTTGGAATTTGCATTAGTTAAAAAAACAAAAAAAACAACCCACGGGACTGTCTTTTTCCTTGTATTCCCCCAACAAAGCAAGAAGGATACAAACTAAAATTTTAAAAAAAAACTAATGGAAGAAAACAATAATAGTTATAAAATGAAATTGCCCATAGCATAGGTGTCTTTATTATATTTTATTTTGCTAAATTCAAAATGAACCAAAAAATAGAAAAAAGGGAATTACATGCAACAAATTTTAGCCCAATTAAAACAAAGAACAACCATAAATTATCCAAAAATCAAAGATATACGTAGTTTAGTATTGCATTTGAGTGTATTTACATGACAAAAAATAGACAAAAAAAGGACAAATTCATGAAAAAAAATAAAATAAAAAAAAGAAAAAATTGATTACTAGATTAGTACTTCTTTGGATTTCCTTCAAAATTTACTTGCGAATCTCAACTCTGCAACTGAGCCGAAGAAATCATGCAAAAATAGTACAAACTAGATCAATATTCAATTCACGGCTGAAATGCCAAAATGAGAAGAGGAAAAAGAAACAGAACAGAGGAGAATGACTGAATGAGCCGCCGACACCAAGGAATTGAAGCCAACAAAGGAATAAGAGGCTGACGTGTTTTAGACTTTTAGTGCTAGTGTATTTTCAATTTTTTACTTAATAAATTAAGTAGATGTCCACAGACAACAAACTAGCCTGTGGCTTAATGGTAAAGAACCCTCCTTGCAATCCTATGAACCCATGTTCGATTCTTATCAGCCACAATTCCGAAACTAATTTTGCAATGTTCACAAAAGTTTCAAAAACCGCCGGTTTACGGTTCAAGCGATTTTTCACGGTTCGTCCGGGTCAACCGGTTTCTAACGATTTTCTATTAATCTCCGGCTTTAGCTCCAGACCGGACCGGTGGCATGTCCGGTTCGCGGTCCAACCGGTTGAACCGGCCGGTCCGGTCCGGTTCTGAAAACATTGCTTTTGACTCGTAACTCTTGGATAGAGTAGTCGAGTAAGACTGCAGATTCGATGCTGTTTGTTGACAATGTGGCCTTTATATCTTAGCAGCCAGGGCACATTCCATGCTATCAAGTGTAAAGAAAGTCCATGCTTCGGAGTTAAGGAAATTAGGCCTGACTTTAAAAGTCAATATTTAAGCCAAAAAAAAAACCAGGGAAACCCCACCAAAAAAAAAAAAGGGAAAAGAGTTCAGATTACTTGCTAGGCTTTTCACCTATCTATTACATTTCGATGTAAAAAATGGTATGAAAGCTTAGCAAGTAATCTGAACTTTTTTACATCTCGATTACAAAGTCATACAATTTATTTATGATGAATTACAGGATGTTAATTAATTAATGAACTTGTTCCTGGTCCCAAATCTAACACGTCTTCCCTTAATCTGTTTTTGACTTTTAACCTTATTAGACATGTCATATTTTGCTAAACTTCTTCTATTCTCAACAAATGTGATTCTACGAACTTAGCCAGGAATCCTAGCTAGGACAAGCAAAAATAATTTTATTGTAGTCCTCTTCCACTCGAATCTACAAGTTTGGATCACGAATATTGTGTAGTAGATGTGTGATTTTGTGCACCATCCTCACAGGAAATATCTGCCCTCGTAACAAATTGAAAAGACAGTTTCTGGTTCTTTACGTTGAATATTTGATATTCTTATCAAATAATGCACGCTACGGAACTTATGTCTTACGAGTAAGTATAATAGACAACATATCACTCTCTATGGATATTTTATAAGGAAAAAAAAACAAAATCACCTTTAAAAATTTTCCCATTTTTAGTTTTTTGTTTTTGGGTAAGCTTCTCGAATTTACATCTATCATATCAATCTAGTCCAAATCTATGAGAGAAAGGCATAGTGAGAACATTCACAAAGAAAATAGAGGTAATCAAGACTAATTGAATCCTATTGTTTGTGATCTGGGAAGAAGGAATCAGCGACATTTTCCACCTTTCAGGGCAGACTACAGTGCAGTCATTGGTGCTTATTGTTTAGGCGGTTTACACAGAATAGGCGCAGACATGCAGCCCATTTGATCCCATATATATATATATATATATATATATATATATATATATATATATATATATATATATATATATATATATATATCTTCAACTGACGTCATTGCTTTCCATGGATTCAATTCATTATTTCGACATAAAGGATGAAAGAAAAAGCAGAACCAAGAGCTCACAATTCAAAAGTCTCTTTACAGCTGAAGAATCAACTTGTTTTTGGGTCAATGACGAAACAAACAACAAAACTCTACTACTGCAACTTATTCAGCCTCTAACTAATATAGAGCCATTATAAAGATAGGATTGAGTGGTTAGTGGAATCCATTGGCGTTACATGCAAACATATATATGTATATCCTGCATGTGTACGTAACGTTTTGCTTGATTTTGAACGTAAAATTGAGCAATGTTAATCCCAATCATAGGATGGTAATTCGATAATGGAAGTATGGGACATGCATGCACACTTAAAATACTTGGTATAGAGGAGCTATCGTGCTATCGATAATAGCATTGTTGGACTAATCAAAATCTCATTTCTACCTAGACTCCTTTATTTTTGTCTCTTCAAAAATAATTCATTTAGATATTTCAAATATGGGCATTGAGATTCTGGAATTTTCTTGGAAGATAGTTTATTTTTACGGGACTAAAATAGTTAGTTCTGACTAATTCTCATAATTCTGAATCATCATAAAACATCAATCATGCATTATTCATGGTACCAACCAGTATTATTAATCCTGTTGTATGATCAACCCAAAAAAGGTCTTTTCGTGGTCCTTTCATCTCCCAGTTTGTGCATCCAGCTGACGGACCCGACGATGGCCTCTGAGTTCTGAGCCCATGTCGGCCTAGACAATTTGAATCCATAAACTTTAGGCAAAGAACGACCCAAATCTCAATCGAGACCAAATCTCACTTCAGCCCATCAATGTGTCTCTTCGTTTGAAGTGTGTAGTTTGTGCTTTTTTTTTTTTTGGTAATAAGTTTGTACTTTATGTGCCTGTTCCGTGAGATGCTCAGAAATTTCTCTATCCATTTGAGTCACAGAATGGCTCTTTTTATAACATAGACTGAATTGCCTCAAAAAAAAAAAAAAAAAACTTAGACTAAATTTTCTTTATAAATGAAATTAAAAATTTTACTAGATATTGTGAATACAAAATTCACTGCAGTTGGCTGGCTAGCTTAGCTCCAATTATCAATAGGACAAAAACAAAATGAAAAATGAAAAAAAGAAGAACCAATGGAAAAACTCTTTTTTTTTTGTCCTTTTACCTTATCTCGATAACTTTGTCATTAAAACAATAAAGTATTGCAAAAGGCATCAATTTGTTGTTGGATTAGGTACTTCAATAGTCAAAAGTAGAATTGGCAGATCAAAAGAACTCAATCCTCAGCAAAGTCATACAAAGCGAACTGAGAAGCTAAATCTGATCCACAAAATATGAGCAACCAGGCACAATTCTTGAATCTACCAGCACACGTTGTCTCTGATATTTTGTCCAGATTACCACCCAAGACTATCATCCAATGCAAATCTGTTTGCAAATCATGGCTGAGTCTGCTATCTGAATCTGAATTCACTAATTTACACCTGCTAAGATCTCCTCCCTGCCTGATCATAAACAACCTCGATTACCATCCTTCAGATTTGAATTGCTTCAGTTTAGTTGAATTCGAAGATCAGCCTGATCACCATGATTTTCAATATGTTGCAGGAACAAAAATCAAGGCCCCAGAAGGGTGTGTCGTGGAAAATGGTGCGACTGCTACCATGGTTGGCTCCATCAATGGCTTAATCTGCTTGAACGAATTCGATCATAAACATGATGCTGTCTACTTGTGGAATCCAATCATACGAGAATCCATCACTCTTCCGATGCCAGAGGGGGTAAGATCATATCCAAATATAGTAAGTTATGGATTCGGATCAAGCTCTGAAACTAGAAAATACAAGGTGGTTCGGATTTTCCAAGAGCGAGAGAAGAATACACGACGGGTATTAAAGTCCAATTGCGATGTTTATACAGTAGGGGAAGAAACAGAATCTTGGAGGAGGATTGGGCATGCCCCTTTCCTTTATAATAGTTGTCGCACTCATGGTGTTTTCCTGAATGGTAATCTTCATTGGCTGATTGGTGATCAAGCTGGCTCTGAATTGATATCCTGCTTTGATCTTGAAACAGAGTTGTTTTCACCTTTCCCTGCTCCTCCAGAACTGAGCAAAGATTTCAATTTAGCTAGCTTGGGACTTTTTGGTGGCTGTCTGAGCTTGTGTGATAACACTTCTGATTATGAGATCGTCATTTGGGTGATGAAAGAATACGGAATCACCAAGCTCTGGACTAAAGATATTGTCATAGACAAGGAGCCTGCTGATCTTGTCGGGCCATCTTTTGAAGTTGTTCGAGTTTTTAAAGTTTTTGAAGATGGGAATATCTTGCTTTTGTGGAGGGATGACATTTTACTTTCTTATGATTCTCAGAGGCAAATCTTGCATCAGTCTGGCGTTCATAAACTCATCAAGAAAATTGATGATCAGATGAATGAAGATGGCTACCCTTGCATAGAAATAATGGAATACGTTCCAACCTTTCTTTCCCTCAAGAGTTTTGGGATCCAGATGATGGAAAGCATAAACTAGAATCTTGGTACAGATGTTGGCTCAACTTTTGGAAGTTTCTCTTTCATTGGGATATTGTAAAAAAATGTTTCACTAGCGTACATCTTGTAGTACTGCATCATTTATTGGGCAGAAACAATGATAAATGCTAGTGCAATTTATGCCCTGGTAGTGCAATAATAATAAAGAGAAGAAGAAGAAGTAGAACTTCCTTTTGATATCTCAAATATGGCATTAATTGTCATCCTTGATTTTTGTTGGAAAATAATTATTTGCAGCTCCCTAATTTCTTGGACATTGTTGATTGCAACTTGTATTACAATATCGAATAATTAGTTCTGACTAATTCTCAGAATCATAAGCCATCGTGAAGACAACCAATGCTTTACTTTATAGCATCATGTGCTATTAATCTTTTTTGTACTTCTTAGTTGCCATTATATAGTATAGTTATTGTGGCTGGTTAATGGCTTAAGCCATCCGAGGGACTCGATATACTTCAAAATTTGGCCATAGATGCTGTACTATTTCTGCAAATTCTGATTCAACAGGCTGGCAAGTGGCAACTTCAAGTTACACGACTTAAAAAAGTACTCTAATTTACTTACCGAAGAATACGATGAAAGCCCCACGTGAGTTTTGAGCCAATCTCGGCCAAATGCAGTGGTGTTTTACACTCTTTGAATCCAAATATTTTAGGCCGAGGTCAACACAAAACTCATGACTCGTGCCTATCTGACCCATCAATTTGTCTCCAGGGTTGAATTCCCCAAGAAGCTGCAACTTTTTTTTCTTCTTCTTCTTTTAACAATGCCAAGAATTTGAAATTGAATTGCATTCATAGATGAACTCCCAAGAAGTTGAAACACTTCAATTTTTTTTTTAAAAAATTTTTGTAGTGAGTTAGCACTTAATATTACGTTTTTGTTGCTCTTTTTAGGGAAGAAGATGCCTCCTTTCTTTGCAGTAATATTCTAGCAAAGATCAACCTTTTGTGATTCGAAAGTGAAGATGAACTGGACGACCGATGTATCATCCATCCATATCATTTAAAAAAAAAAAAAAAAAACGCAAGCTACAAATCTTGAGCCTCATTGCTCCTCCTCCTGATCAGCATCCTGGTGTTGTTGACCAAGCACAATGTAAATACGGGAGGGTTTACGTATACGACGACCTTCCTCCAATTTTCAACAAGAAACTGCTGGAAAACTGCATTATAGACTCTCGTAAATCCCAATGTGAGGCGCTGTCAGACGGTGGATTTGGGCCGGAAGCCACCACCGCTCTCGCCGGCATTGTCCCGCCTGAGCTTGCTCGTGCTTGGTACCGGACCCACATGTTCGCGAGCGAACTTATATTTCACAATCGAATTCTCAACTACAAGTGTAGAACCATGGAGCCGGAATCCGCTAAGGCATTCTACATCCCATTTTATGCTGGACTAGCGGCCTCCAACATTTTATTCAGTGGCTACACTGCCAAAGAACGAGATGCACCCTTCTACACTTTCCTCGAATGGATCAAGAACCAGCATTATTGGAAGAGATCCAACGGTTCTGATCATTTCCTTGCTGTGGGTCGAACTTCATGGGACTTGAAACGGGTCCGTGATGATCAAGCCTGGGGGACAAGCTTCCTCCTCATGCCCTTGATGAGAAAAATGTTCAGCTTCACAATAGAAAGAAGCCTAGGGGATCCAATGGAAGTTACTGTACCCTATCCTACCGGATTTCATCCCCGGACCGTGACCGAAATTAAGCAATGGCAGGAATTTGTGCGAGGTAGAAAACGGACGAACCTCTTCACGTTTGTAGGGGGAAAGCGTGGATATATAAAGAACGACTTCAGGGCTTTGCTGCTGGATCACTGTTACAACGAATCTGATTCGTGCAAAGCTATAGATTTTGCCAAGACAGCTTGCTTGGACAGCTCCTCAGCGGTTCTGGAAATATTTCTGAGCTCAGACTTCTGTTTGCAGCCCAGAGGTGACTCGCATACGAGGAGGTCCACGTTTGATTGTATGCAGGCAGGTTCGATACCAGTTTTTTCTGGAAAGAAACGATTGTGGGTCAGTACGAGTTGTTTATGTCCAGTGAATTGGAGTCTTTCTCGGTTTTTATACACAGGAATCGGGTAAGGAATGGGACTTCGATAAGGAAAGTATTGGAGGGATATAGTGGAGAAGCTATCAAGAGGATGAGGAACACGGTAATTAACATGATTCCAAGGATTTCGTACAGCTTTTGGAGGAAGAACTGGCAATCTTAAAGATGCGTTTGATATAGCTGTGGAGGAAATGCTAAGAAGAATAGTTTCAAATAAGCCAAGCCTTAAGGGACCATCATCATGAGTCACACAATCAATTTTGATATACCTACATCTCAAAGGTTGTTACTGGCTGTGAAGATGACAAAGAGTAGGGGAAAGTTTTTCCCTTTTTTTTTTGTGGGGGACGGGGGTGTGGGTGGGCTGGCGGTGTTCTCCAAAATATATACTTGATTGAATGGTGATTAACTTGTTCAATTGCTTTTCTGAGTTTAACCTGTAACTATAGCCAATTTAAGGAAAGAATTCCTTGAATCTACCATACCACGTTATCCAGATTACTATAACCAAGAGTTTCATCCAGTGCAAATGCGCTTATGATCAGATGAATGGAGTTGGCTATGTCGAAGAAAGCTACCCTTGCATAGGAGTATTGGAATATGCCCTCAAGCTTTCTTTCTCTCAGAACTTTGGGATCGAGATTGTTAAATGAATAAAGTAGAATTGGTATGCTCGCTCAAGTACTATTTGAAGTTTCTTTTTTCTTTGTGATATTTTTTAAAAATATTTTACCGATATATCTTATAGCACTACTTGTTATATTGACGGGCACAAACAATGGCAAGTATTAGCTCATGTTATGCCCAAACTTTGCTCTTTGTACGAGTATGACGCGCCTGAATTTGTGTCTAACTAATGATGATATTCATTTTACTCGGGTTCTCTGAATAGTCAACTTCTTGCAAGCCTTTACATTTGTTTTCAAGTGGTTAGCCTACTAGAATTTTGTAAAGTCTCAAGAAGAGAATACTCTTAAGACACTCTAGTAGTAGTGTTATATCACAGGACGATGTAACGAGCTTGGAAGTCTACAAAGACTACCTAAGCATGTGCGATAATAGTTTGGATTTTGAAGTTTCTATTTGGATAATGAAGGATTCTGGTATCAAGAATTCGTGGAGTAAAGAAATTGTCATCGACAAGAGCCATATAGATCGAGTTGGTTGCTACGTATGAAGTAGTGCACATGGTCAAAATTTTCAAGGATGGATAAATCTGGTTGATGTGGGATGACTTTTATTTCCGTAAAAACAATAATCGGACAAAAACATTGAAAGATGTTGACATTATGTTAGATTCATGAATAAAAAATTATATTCTATATTGATTCAGGAGATGAAGAAAGAGCGATTAATATGTACCTAAAAATTTAATACCTAATAATTTAAGATTTTATGTCAGAGTTGAGTGTTTGACTTATATATTAAATTTTTTGATAAACTTTTTCGAGATGTTTCTCCTTTAACACACTAATGCACTCCTTGGGGTTGAAAATTCCAGCTTCGAAGTAATGGACTGTGTTCCAAGCTTTTTCCCGCTAAGGGAGCTTGGATCGGAGATGGTAAAAGATACATTCCAGAACATAAGGGTCTCGTCCTGGATTGCTTCTTATATGCTTGACTTGGTTGCATTATGATCCTTCCTTTATAAATAATTTATTTGATGCATATTCCACCCTCTTGTCCTCCTTAATTAAATATCACAGGAATTGTATCATTTTGTGGTTTCCCAAAGCCACCAAAAAATTTCAAACCTGTTTACTAAATGTAATCTTAAATTTTGATATATTTATGCTAAAGTAGTATCTGAAGCATAAATTTTATAGTATATGAAAGTAGCTAGCTACTTATTTCTCTAAATACAAATTATTGGCCTTTTGAAGGCTCTTCAAACATGATCCACCTCAAAGTTCAAACCCTGCAACATACGAGTCAACAAAGTTGATTAAATTAGAATGCTGAAATTAAAATGAAAATTTGCTAAGATAAAATCCTTACAGTTCATAGTCTATGTTGACTTTTCCAGCATTTGGATCGGCAATGAGAGCAAATGCTTCTTGAGAGAGATCAAAGGTTGCTCGACAACCCGGAGGACAGTAATCAATTATTTGAACCACAACACTACCCCTACAAGGTTGTGCGATCCCTTCGCTATTAGTTCCAGTGCAAGTAACTCTATAGTTTCTTCCACAAGCTGCCCCGTTATCCCATATTACGTTACTCGCAGCAGCTATCAACGGCAACGTCCCATTGACTCGGACGCCAATGCAAGCATTTGCTGGTTTATGAAGAGAGGAGATTTCACATATGTGAGATGGGTTTTCAGGTTAAAGTCATGCATGCTTCAAGCTTGCAGCTTTCACAGGCTGCAGATTTCATGAAAGTTGTCTTGCATGCTTATAGGCTGGTTACATTTCTAATTTTATTTTATATCTTTAAGCATTTTTAAAAATCATCCACAATTTTTCCCTTCAGTTGTAACATTAAAAGTTCCTTATTGAAAACACGAAGTTTTGTTTCTTTTCATTTCTTGGAAACATGCAGGAAATAATTTCATTAACCCCTTTCTAAGCTAGGGTTTTTAGTCAACTGTGGAAAAGGGTGTTAATTTATCGTGTTTCATACATGCCAATATAAGCACATAAACATATGGATCGATATCTATGTGATCGTTTGTGTATCACATCTAATCAATAGTATATCTTCCAAAGTGTTAAATTCCCATATAGAAAATGAAAATGAGAAAAGATGTTGCTGAGGGTGCTCACCTCGGCCACCCCGCGTGTCCGAGGTGAAGTCACCTCGTCCCTCTTCGGAGTCCATCCGTCTTGAGCATCGTCCCGGACCTCGGCCGGATCCGTAGTCAACCGTGTAGGTGACCTCGGCACCTCCACCTCAGCTGCACGCTGATGATGTCAAACCGCCTGACATCACCCAGGACCAGTGCTTTATCTGAAAAGCACTGGAGGCACTTAATGGCACCTGCACAATACTCCCCGCCGTCATGCTCAGGCAGCTACAGTGTCAGAGTCAGACCTCCTGACACGGGACAGAGCCGTAATGACCAGAGGGTGGGTCCCACCAGCATAAGCCCCCCCGCTCTGTCCTCTACTCTCCCTCTATAAATACCCCAGACACACTCCCAACAAGTAAGCCTACACTGTTCATTAATTCATATTCTCATTATTCTCGTTCTCATACTAACTTGATCGTCGGAGTGATCCCAGGGGAGAAGCCCCGCCACTCACTTCGGACACCGAGGTTCACTTCGGACACAGGAGTTCACCTCATTTCATCTCAGAGAGGACTGATCCAGGTCGGTCTAGTTACCAACCCAAAAATCACCTCTTCAATTGGCGCCGTCTGTGGGAAACGAGACTACTATTACTAAAATGAGATCCACGCGCTCCAGAAGTGGTCGAGTTCCCTCAACTGGGGCTGGGCAGATCTCGGGAGCCCAGCAAGATCGCATTTCTGAAGAGCAAGGGTCCCCGAGGACCCAGCCTAACAACGAGGAGGCCATCACCAAGATGGCCGAGTTCGTATCACACAACCCTACCATTTTTGAGGAGCTAGGAAGGTACCTCAAAAGACAGGGGAAAGAAAAGGCCGAGTCTTCCAAGAGGAGGCCGACGAGGTCCCCTGAGGCACCTTCAGGTGAAGACTCCGATGAGGGGCGTCTCTCTCGGAGTACCTCCGGGCGTGCCTCCTCCAAGGCGACCTCTAAAATTGCCTCCATCTCCCGAGCGTTTTCTCGAGGACTTCTAGGGAAACGGTCCGAGGACCCACCTCGGCGCCCCGGGAGCCTAGCTTCGGACTACATGAGGGCTCCGCCCTTTACGGATGACATCAATGGGGAAAGGGTGCCCCCGAACTTCAAGCTTCCAAACTTGCACACCTACGACGGCCGAGGTGACCCCGAGGATCACCTCCGCGCCTTCATCTCCGCATTCCGACTCTACTGCGTCCCCGACGCCGTGATTTGTCGGGCTTTCCCCATTTTCCTACATGGGACTGCCCGGAAGTGGTTCTGGAGTTTGGAACCGGGGAGCATTTCCTCCCTGGATGAGCTGATAGACCGGTTCATCCACCGCTTCGTGTCGTCTCGACCAATCACGAAGACTTCAGCTTATCTCTTGAACCTTCAACAGGGTCAGGGCGAGTCCCTTCGCTCGTATGCTCAAAGGTTCAACGAGGAGAATGTGCAAATACCTGATCAGAATGAGCAGGTAACTCTCGCGGCCTTTACCAACGGGTTGGTGGCCGGACTCTTCAACACCGAAATCCATCGGGATTACCCCCGTACACTTCACGAACTCTGGGAAAGAGTGGACCAGGGAATCCGAAGTGAAGATGTTAATCGCATGAAGCGAGAAGCCCAAGCCTCTCGTACGGGACAAGATACCCGGAGAAGGAAAGACATCGGCCGAGGTGAGCCCGGCCCAAGTGGCACTTCAAACCCACCCCGGGACCGCCGGAGTGTTTTCGACCGGATCGTGAAAGGAAGATCATCCACCTCGGACGCTGAGTTGACACCGCTCAATTCCAGCCGATCTCATGTCTTGGCTGTGATGAGGCAGAACCACCTCGGCCGAACACCTCCTGAGATCCCTGGAAGAAGAGATAGGAGGAACTCCAGCCTCTACTGTGCCTACCATCGAGATGTTGGGCACGAGACCGAAGATTGCAACGATCTGAAGCGAGACATCGAAAACCTGATTCGACAGGGACACTTGAAACAATTTGTCCGCAAAGATGGAGGCTTCGGCCGAAGTGCCTCCCACCGGGAGAGCCGAGATCCTCGTCGAGAAGACAGGCGGGACGCCAAACTCAACTGCCGAGGTCCTGAGGACCATAAGGGGGACCAAAGGCCTCCACGCGACGGATCACCAGGCTACGGCCCAAACATTGCCGGGGTGATCAACACCATCTCAGGTGGCCCCACGGGAGGAGACAGCCAGAGCTCCCGAAAGCAGACCTACCGCCAAGCCGGCATGGATGTGGCCGAGCCGAGCTCGAGGCTGTCCGAGGTGATAACCTATGGTCCCCGCGACCCCGTCCCCGCTGCCTCCAGCAATCACGAGACCCTCGTGATTGAGGTCCTCACAAACAATTATATAGTCAAAAAGGTCTACGTTGACCCCGGAAGCTCGGTAGACGTCCTGTACTACCGAACTTTCGAGAATTTGAAGTTGACCCGGGAGCAACTCACTCCGGTCAGAACTCCCCTTGTCGGCTTCGGGGGACACGTCGTCCACCCGGAAGGCATGGTGAATTTAATGGTGACTATCGGGCGTCATCCCCGTTGCCGAACTGTGCCTGTCAGCTTTGCGGTGGTCAAAGCGGACTCTCCTTACAATATGCTGATAGGCCGGCCCACGCTCAATGCCTTGAGAGCCGTATATTCTACCTACCACCTGAGTTTCAAGTTTCCAACGCCAGAAGGTGTGGCCGAGGTGAGCAGCGACGTGGGCGCCACCCGAGAATGCTACCTCGCCACCATCCAAGCCGCAGTCGGACCTCAGCCCCCGCCGAGGTCAGAAGAAAAGAGGCCGGCTGTCCTCTCCATAGACTGCATCGACCCTCATAAGGCAGGAGAGCCCAGCAGGCTTGAGCCCGGGGATGAAGTGGAACAAGTGGTCTTGGATGAAGCCAAGCCTGACCAAGTGGTCCAAGTAGGGGCCGGACTCCCTTCACCCCTGAAAGAAGAAGTGATCTCCCTGATCAAGGACCACCGAGACATCTTTGCGTGGTCCGCAGATGAAGTGGTCGGAGTGCCACCCGAGCTTATGACTCACCAACTTAACGTTAACCCACAGGCCCGACCTGTGCGGCAGAAGCGAAGGCACTTCGGCCCCGAACGCAGCAAGGCCATATCGGACGAGGTCGACAAGCTCTTGCCGGCCAAGATGATCCACGAAGTCCAATATCCGACCTGGCTGTCCAACACAGTCATGGTCAAAAAGGACACCGGCGGATGGAGAATGTGTGTAGACTTCACCGACCTCAACAAGGCCTGCCCCAAAGATTGCTATCCCCTGCCAAGGATAGACGCCCTCGTCGACTCGGCGATGGGGTATGAAGTCCTCTGCTTCCTAGATGCCTTCAAAGGGTATCATCAAATAGAAATGAGTGAAGAGGACCAAGAGAAAACGGCATTCTACACCGACCAAGGTGTTTATTGTTACACTACCATGCCCTTCGGGCTAAAGAACGCCGGGGCGACCTACCAAAGGCTGATCAACCGACTCTTCAAGAATCAGATCGGCCGCAATGTGGAGGCCTATGTGGATGACATCCTCGTCAAAAGTCTCGCCACTTCATCCTTCCTGTCAGACTTGAGGGAAGTTTTCGGGGTCCTGCGAGACTCGAGGATGAAGCTGAATCCCAACAAGTGCGTCTTCGGCGTCACCTCGGGAAAATTCTTGGGGTATCTGGTTTTCCACCGGGGAATCGAGGCCAACCCCGACAAAATCAAGGTCATTCAGGACATGTCCCCACCTCGGAACATCCGAAAAGTCCAAAGACTGAATGGACGCCTGGCCGCGCTGAACCGCTTCTTGTCTCAATCTGCTGATAAGGCCCTACCCTTCTTTAAAGTGCTGAAGAAGTCTGATCAGTTCGCCTGGACTGAGGAGTGTCAGTCTGCCTTCGACCAGCTGAAGCAGTACTTGCACCACCTGCCCACTCTCGCTTCACCTCGGCCCGAGGAGAAGCTCTACCTCTACCTCTCTGCGGCCGACGAGGCCGTCAGCGCTGTGCTCATCCGAGATGAGGGCACCCAAGTGCCAGTTTACTACGTCAGCCGAGCCCTCCGCGGGCCGGAGATTCGATACACTCAGGTGGAGAAACTCGTGCTGGGGCTAGTCCACGCAGCTCGGCGGTTGAAGCCCTACTTCTTAGCTCATCCCATCTCTGTCAGGACCGACCAGCCCATCCGGCAGATATTGGTGCGACCCGAAGCATCTGGTCGCCTCACCAAGTGGGCTGTCGAGTTGGGAGAATATGACTTAACATACGAGCCTCGCACAGCTATAAAGGCACAAGCCTTAGCCGACTTCCTCGCCGAGCTGACCTTCACGGAAGGTCCAGAGTCCGCCTCCGCCGGAGCCGAAGTGTCCACTTCATCCCCATGGACATTGTATGTGGATGGATCCTCTAATGGAGATGGCAGCGGTGCCGGACTTCTTCTGGAAGGACCTCAGGGAGAGGTGTGCTCCTACGCCCTCCGCTTTGGCTTCTCGGCCACCAATAATGAAGCCGAATATGAGGCTTTAA